GCTAAATATGAGTTTACTGAAATCACAATAACACGCTGCACAAAGCTAAATATGAGTTTACTGAAATCACAATAACACGCTGCACAAAGCTAAATATGAGTTTACTGAAATCACAATAACATGTTGCACAAAGCTAAATATGAGTTTACTGAAGTCACAAGAACATGTTGCACAAAGCTAAAAATGAGAAGTTTAATGAAGTCAGTAAATTATTCTGCTTATTTTACTGTAGTTAAATGAAATAAAATCAACTTGTGTTTTTCTCCTGGYTGTGTACAGGCAGGACGTAAAACCCACCTAAAGACAAATGAACTTGTTGTAAATAAAAGGCCCTGCCGGCTCGTCTGACTGACGCCTGAAAGCTCCACCGACACGATGAGTCAGAGCTCTGAGGGTTTATCCACAAACCTCCTGCTCTTACATTATCTCTGTGTTTTTCTCTGAGAAGAGCTTTCCAGACCTAACTCAAGTCCTCCGACACGTCCCCCGCCCCCCCTCCACACCCCCCACACCCCTACTTTGTTCAGAATCCCTCCATCAGAGACCTCTCAGTGCCTGGCAAGAGGGAGGCGAGCAGAGAAATGTCATAATTTGTCTTTTCTTGACATCCCTCGCGATGTTATGCAAGAAGGGAAAGCTAAATGCCCGCCTCCTGTTTCTGCTTGTGTCCCTCCTCTCTGCCACAGCAGCTGCTTTAACTGCCAGACCAGTGACAGACAGGAAGAAAGGAAGGAAGAGCTTTGCTTGACTTTAAAACTGTTTAATAAAAGTGAAGATGGGTCTGCAGCAGACAGAGAAAAGAAAGAGTGTCACGAAGACTTTATTAAAGAAATAATCTGCCGGCAGCTTGAAGGAAGTGCAGATTTTTCAATCAAACCTTTTGTCTGTGATCTTAAAGCTGGCTGTTTGTCGACGACTCTCTCCAGAGATTTAAAAAGGTTTAAAAGTTCTGTTTCCTTACGTTAAATGTAGAGCAAGTCACAAGAATTTTGACCAGGTTTTGTTTTGATGACGATTGCAAACCGTGAGCAGAAACGTGAATCCAAGTAAAATCTAGAGGTGCAAYGATACAAATAATTCACAATATGTTTTGGTTCGGGTCTCACCGTGTGATATTTTTTGATACAAAAAAGAGAAATGTCCTTTCCCTTCTAAACTTCTAATTTATTGAAATTACAAACCTTTGTTTAACCTCAAAAGTCCAGTTTTTCCATTAAATGTCAGGTTTATAGTAAATAAGTACATTTACTTTGTTACAGTAATTTTTTGAGGATTTGTAATTTTACCAAGTATTTAATCGTAACTTTTACTTTTATTTTTTTACATTTAAAACCTAAAAAGGTTAACTTCTTTACTTTAAAGTTTAACACCTAGTTACTCGTTGCAAACTAAATGTTTTAATTAATCACGAATGAAGTTGTTTCTGCTCTAAAAATTGAAGAGTTGAATTTACTCAACAAAATCATGTCAGCTGGTTCCACTAAGTGTAGTAGAGTAAATATGAGGTAATATACAGATTTAATTTAGAAGAAAACATTCCTCAATTTACTCACCTTGGTTTAGTGTAACCAGTTTGGTTCAGTAAATTCAACAGTTTATTACTTTGTAATGTCCAAAGAGTGGGGGCCTCTTCTCAGGAATGCACAGATGTGATGTCTCTYRGTTTTCCAGCTTCAGAGCTCGGCACATATTACCATTTTAGGAAGAGTAACGYTTAAGGTATACYGTGACAAAATTTATGATGCCTCTGTTGAACTACACTGTGAAGCCTATAAAGAGGCTTGTACGCCCCCACCCTTGGCCGTCTTACTTTATCTTTCTTACTTGGTGAATCATTTGGCATTGAAGGCCACAATTTGGTTTTTGGCTGTAATCTCCTGGGCTGCAAAATAAAGATTCTTGCTGTTCAACCAGCCTGTTTCAGAGTTCTCTCTTCATTGAGCAGCAGCAGTTCCACTTCAACCAGAAGACGTGGTTATTTCACCTCAACTTCATTGTGTAAAAATACTTTTACTTTTTCAATGTTTGTGAACAGTTTTATTACTTTTACTTACGTACTTTTCTCATTAGTGAAATTTTGATTCACTAAAGTCATTTTCTGTTCAGGTAATTTTACTTTTACTAAGTTATCTTTTTCAAGTACTTTATAGACCTCTGGTAAATGTTGCTGAAACAGCAAGTTCCTCATCTGTGCTCGACAATACAGCCTAGGTGGAGTAGTCGAACACAGATCCACTGATCCTTCAACACAGAGCATCTTCAGAAGACAAGTTGATAAAATAAATGTTAAAAATCTGTATTGTTTCCATTCACTGTGTGCCCCTAGTAAAAATGTATTTCTTCATTTTGTTTTGAGGTTTTTATCTTGCCAACATTTCTGTCTCTAAGCTGTTTTTCTGTAATTTGTTTCATTTTGTTTCATCTTTCAAGTGTCGCTTGTGTTTTGAACTGGAAGACAAATGTGTTAAAAAGAAACTGTGAGAAAACAACAAAGCAGAAGAAATCAGTTTGTCTGCTTCACGTTCGAACGTTTAGCGGCTCCAAGTGAACAAAGAGCTCTGAAAGCCTGAAACTGATGCTAAAACATAATAAATGAAAGAGAAACGATTTTACAGCCGGTGTAAAAACGATGAAGACGATGCAGCGTCTGTTTGTCTTCAAGGTGAAAGAAGAACAAAAACACTGAGCAAAGATCTCCTCGGGTCAAAGTTCACCAGGATTGTTTGGAGCTGAGGGCAGCAGGAGGGTCAGAGGTTACAAACTCCTGATTGTCCAGCT